ATATATATATATATATATATATATATGGGGGGCATGTATATATTTCTGCCAATGTTAGCATGGTGTGTTGTACCTTATGTACCATGTTTAGGGATAACAATAAAGTAATTTCAAATAGGATGCCAGACACACAGCCAGGACAATATTTCCCACTGTGAAACCTCATTTCTACTTTTAAAAACAGTGCAATAGTCCAGGATCTGAGAAGACCACTCACTGGAGTTTTTCAATGGGAATGTGTCCTATTCTAGTCTGATACAGGATTTTAGCAGTTCAACAGTCCTCCAAAAGCATGCTCATAATGCATGAAATGTTTGCAGTTAGTGAGCGGTCTGAACAGAAGGTAGGTCAGTTCAACATTCAAACTCTTCTACGTAATATGAAGCCTAGCTGTTGTAATAGATACTGCATATGGTTTAGTGTCTTCTTGAAATATGCATATATGTTGATGCACGTCAATGCCCACGTGGGTAACGACAGTGTGACCTTGAGTGACGTGATTGGGAGGAACGGCCTCTCTGATCTGAACTCGAGCAGTGTCCCGTTGTTGGATTTCTGTGCTAGTCAGTTTGTCCATCACAAACACCATAAGGGTTTCCATAAGTACACTTGGTACCAGGACGCCCTAGGTTGTAGCTCGCTGATAGACTTTGTAGTCGTGTCATCTGATTATTTGAAGCTGTTTGTTTTGGACACTCAGATGAAGAGAGGAGCTGACCTGTCAACTGATCACCACCTGGTAGTGAGTTGGGTCAGATGGCAGGGAAAGATGCCCGACAGACACGAAGGACCCAAACATGTAGTTAGGATTTGCTGGGAACATCTGGCAGAAGATCCTGTCAGAAAGAGCTTCAACTCACACCTCCAGAAGAGCTTTAACTGCATTCCAGCTGAGGTGGGGGATTTGAGTTTGAGTGGGTCATGTTCTTTGACTCAATTGTTGAGATGGCTGCCTTGAGCTGTGGCTGCAAGGTTGTCTGTACTTCTCACAGTGGCCATCCTCGAACTAGGTGGTGGACACCCATGGTTATGGACAGACCAACCCCAAAGTCCCCGGACTCCGCTCCCTTCATGGAAGACATGCCAGTGTGATTGAAAAAGCCTGGCAAGTATTCCTTCCATCTCCCAACGACATCATTGGTTGAGGTCAACAGCACCCCTCTTCACTGAGCACAGTGTTAGTAAAGTGCTGCTTTCCCCTCCTCAGCTGTCTGATGGTTTGCCAGAATCTCTTCGGGGCCAACCGAGAGTCGTTATCCAAGGCCTCACTGAACTCCTCCCACATCTGAGCTTTTGCCTCAGCAACAGCCAAGGCTGTAGACCACTTGGCCCTCTGGTACTCTTCAGCTGCCTCCAGAGTCCCACCAGCCAATAAGGACCAATAGGGCTCCTTCTTCAGCTTGACAGGCCCCCTAACCTGGGCTGAAGTCATCGAGGTAGTTAAAAAGCTACATGGCAGCAGGGCTCTGGGGGTGGATGAGATTCGCCCTAAATTTCTTAAGGCTGTAGATGTTGTGGGGCTGTCTTGGTTGACATGCCTTTGTAGCATCACGTGGACATCAGGGGCAGTGCCACTGGATTGGCAGACTGGGGTTGTGGTTCCCCTCTTCAAAAAAGTGTGACACCAGAGGGTGTGCTCCAATTATAGGGGCATAACTCTCCTTAGCCTTCCTGGGAAGGTCTATTCAGGGGTACTGGAGAAGCAAGTCTGATCGTCGTTCGAACCTTGGATCCAGGAGGAACAATGTGGGTTCCGTCCTGGACGTGGAACACTGGACCAGCTCTTTATCCTCACTAGGGTCATCAAGGGGTCATGGGAGTTTGCCCATCCAGTTCAAATGTTTTGTGGACTTGGAAAAGGCATTGGACCGTGTTCCTCAGGGTACAGTGTGGGGGGTGCTCAGTGAGTATGGGATTGGGGGCCCGTTGTTATGAGCTGTTCAGCTCCTATACAAGAGGTGCGAGAATTTGGTTCACATTGCCCATAGTAAGTTGGACCCCTTCAGGGTGGGAGTTGGACTCCGCCAGGGCTGCCCATTGTCACTGATGTAGGCTGGATGGACAAACTCCCACTTTAAAGTAATGATTAAGAAACAGAAAGTAATATGGTGTTTTAACTGCTTTTGGACAAATGTAATAAACTGTTTCTTTAAGAATCTCCATCTCGTTTAAATAATTTATAAATGTTTGGTTTTAGCTTTGTACTCATGTCCTGGTTAATTCGATCCTCATCCTCCTACTTCATCTCTATCTTCTGAACATGTGTAAAACTCATCTTGCTTTCAAGATGGCTGCTAAAGCGTGGGAGTCGGGAGAAAACAATGTCACTGTTGATGTTTTGGATTATTTCTTTTGCTGGCTGCATGAATATAATTTATCCTAGATTTACTTTATTACTTAAAAAATAAAGCATTGTCTAATCAAAGCAGGAAATCCGTGAAACTGCAAAGAGAAGCTGCCTTGGATGCATTTTGCAGTTTAATGTTTACTCTCAAATAAGTTTTTGTGTCTTTGCATCCAGATATGAGTTTATAGAATATGTTTCTGCTAACTTGTTAAAATTCAAACAGAAAATAAAACGGCTGTTTCATTGTTTCAATTTACTGCAAACTTTACTAATCCTGCCTGTATTATTGGATATGAGACCTGTGGTGTGGAGTATTAAGTTAAAAAGAAGTTGCATCTGCATCATTTTATGAAGAGTTTTGTCCAAACCACCTAAAGATATGAATAATTAAATAAATAATCTTCTCATCCTTGAAGTAATGCATGTCACCCACTGGCTTTCATTAGATTAGAAAAATTTAAAAAAATTATCTCATGCTGCCAAGTGATTTCACACGAGATTACACTCATAGTATTTGGTGTGAATGACTCTCAGCTACTACCACCCCACATGATGGCACAATATCTGCAAAAGTGACTAAATTATAACCTTTTATTGTGTTTTCTAATGTCATTTGGCTGTGGCAGCCATCTTGAATCAGGTTGGCTCCAAATACTGATCAGATGTTCATCCAATATTTATTCTCCTGAAAGTTGTGATAAATTTTGGGCAGTGGTTCCAGAGATATTTTGCTAACAGACAGAGTTGCCTCTAGACAGATCATGGCTACGTGTTAAATAAGGATCTTGTGCGATCTGTTAGCACTCAGCGCATGTGTTGTGGATCAGTCTCAGTTACTACCACACCAAATTGTGGGTCAGTTCTGTAAAACTGACTGAGTTATAGCAACTTTTGTGCTTTTAGAGTTCAGTTGGCTGGGGTAGCCATCTTGGACTGTGTTGACTTGTACAGTTATTCAGCTAACCTAACTCTCATGTTCTGCTGAAGATTGTTAATCGCCCATTGATTAAAACAGGTGTGTTGGAGCAGAGGAACATCTAAAACATGCAGGATAGTGGCCCCTGAGGGCCAGGATTAGACACCCCTCATGACTGTTTTTGTAGTTTTTCATTTAAGGGATTAAGTAAATGTTTGAGTGTCAATGTCTTTAATTGCACATCGATCAAGGCAAAGCAAAGCAGGAATTATGTTCAACGAGCACGTATCCAGAGGTCAGGAGAGTCTCTGAATTCACTGAGCAACTCAGAAACATCTGACATGAAAGCATCCGAGGCCACACATCGCTTTGATGGCTCAGCGTAGACCTGTTTTTCTTTCAGGCCTCTTGGATTATTCTTCCATCCCATGGGAGATAATCCTAAAGTCCGCTGGGCCTGAAGGTCTAAGGATCTGAAAACATTTGATGAGTTGAACAGGAAGTGGTCTGTGAATAGGATGTCACCACAAGGTCTGAGATTTTCCCTGGGAAGCTTTCAGTCAGTCAGCTGTTCATACAGGCCGTTGTCTGTCTCCTGGCTGCGTTTACGTTGGTTTCTGTACAAAATCCTGCATTTGTTTTTATTTTCTTGTCCTCTAAAGGAGCACAAAGACAAGAAAATCACAAAATATGGTTGCAGAAATGCACATGTTCAAGTAAAGCTTTATTTATTGCCAAAATCAGAGAATTAAATAAAATATTTTGTTGGTTGCGTACCCAGTGCGTAGCAATAAAAGTTAGTTTGTTGACTGGCTGACATTTAACTTGACCATCTGACAACCAGTAACTAAAACATGCTTGGTTTTTTTTTTTTGTTTGTTTTTTTTGGGGGGGGGGGTGTTAACCTCTTAAAACTCTCTGCTACTTGCTCTTTGACATGTTTGTAAATGAGCTGTAATGTATCAATGAGGTGTTCTTTAAATGGGTCTAACTCACGTCCTCTCAACACTCCTCGTAGCTTTTTATTTAGGACAAACACCATCAAAACTTCTTTCTTAACTGTTGTTCTCCATTCACACTACGGTATGTTTCTTGCAACCCACTCTGCAATGTGAGGAACATCATACCATACAATACCATACCAGTTTTATTTAAAGAGCACTTTAAACACCTACAGGACCAAAGTGCTGTACACGTCATGTGAAGTCCCAGCATCTTGCTAACTTTTCCTGACCACCACCAGAAGCTAAAACCAAGGATCCACTTGTATCTATCTACTCCCCCCACCCCCCACCCCACCCCACCTGCTCACGCACCCATTGGCGTCAGAAGAATTTGTAATATGTGAGGGACACATTTTCCCCCAGAAATTTTTGAATAAGTAGATGCCATTTCCTGCATTCTGGTGTATTTTAACAGGTTGTTAGACGCACACACACACACCCCAGTCACCAACAGCCGGCACTAACTTTGTACTAAGCTAGCGGCGCGCAATACAGACCAGACGCACTAGCTAAGATGCGACAGATGTAGCGCTCCGCTTCTCTCACGCATCCTAACCCCCCACTTGATCAACAAGTACCTGCACTAACGTAGTGCTAAGCTAGTGCACAACGCAGACGACGCAGAGGTGTCTCCTCCCCATGCCCCGCCAACAAAAAAAAACGTGAAGAGATGAACGTCCTGCCAAGTGACCTTGGGGAAAACACTGCATGCGGTGTGGAGTTGTTGTAGGTAACCATGAAAACCTGGAGTGGATTTTTAGTAGTTTGAGTATTCCCCTGTTAATCAAGTGGAATGGATTTGTTCATGAACAAGTAAAAACAGCACTGGGTGAACTCATATTTCATGGTAATTGGGGGGGGTCGTCCAAACACATTTTTTTAATGTAAGGGGGACACATCCCATCACATGTAATTGTTGTGATGCCTATGCACGCACCAATCAAAGGACGTGAATGGGTAACTTGGATTTCTTAACCAACAGGCCGCAGTCTGTGAGGATCCACAACTTCTTTTCCTCCACCATAACCCTCAGCACTGGCTCCCCTCAGGGCTGTGTGTTGAGCCCCCTCCTGTTCACTCTGCTCACATATGGCAGTGCACTTATCCATCCAGGCTGCCATATTGTAAAGTTTGCAGACAATACAGCGGTGGTGGGATGCATCACAAACAATGATGTCTGGCAACAGGCAGGAGGTGGAACACCTGGAGAGCTGGTGCAGGAAAAACAACCTTCACATCAATGTGAAGCCGAAGGAGATGATTGTGGGTTTCAGAAGGAGCAAACATACCTAAACCCCCACCCCCCCGAAACATAGAAGGATCTGCAGTGGAAGATGTCTCCAGCTATAAGTACTTGGGTGTACAAATGAATGACAACCTCAGCTGGAGCAACAACACCACCAGTCTGATCAAGAAAGCTCATCAGAGACTCTACTTCCTCAGGAGGCTGAGACGAGCTGGTCTGGGAAGTTCAGTCCTCACCTCCTTCTACAGGTGTGCAGTGGAGAGCATCCTGTGCTCCAGCATCAATGTGTGGTATGGAGGCTGCACAGCTGCAGAAAGAAAAGCTTTGCAGAGAGTGGTGAAGGCTGCACAGAAATCTGTTGGAATCAGCCTCCCCACCATCACAGACATCTATACCTCCAGATGCAAGAATAGGGCCACCTGCATCATGACGGACCCCACTCACCCAGCACACACACTCTTTGCCTCGTTCCCCTCAGGAAGGAGGTTGCGGAGCATTAAGTGTAGAACCACTAGACTGAGGAACAGCTTCTACTCTGAAGCTGTTAGACTCATGAATCTCTAACCAGAATAATCACTGTAATGACACTTTATTTGGAATTTTGTCACTTTATCTGTGCTGCTGATTTCTTGCCTTTAAAGCTACCTCATCTGCTCACAGCAGACTCATGTTCAAGCTCTTGTTTAATACAGCGTATTACATTATATTATTGTTTAGCGTATATCTTAGATTCTTGTATACTGTTTCTTTTTTATACTTTATATTTTTGCTATTTTGGGGTGTAACTGGGACCCTGAGTACACAATTTTGTTCCACATGTGATGTGAATGACTATAAAGAAACTTGAACTGATCACAGGATGTCTTTTTCTAACCTCTGCGCCACCCCTCCCCCCAAACGTACAATACATAAATAACTGAAAATCATGTAAAAACTCCAGAAAACACCAAACAAGATTTCATTACTGATTAAAATACGTTGATTCACGGTCTGACCATTTACATTGTTCTGTTGTTAGATCCTATTTGTCGTTGGGTGGTTTTCCTCTTTGCCAAGTTTATCCATTTGTTGCTGTCAGCTCTGTGTTTTTGGGTGTCTGGTTTATTGGACTTCCTGTCTCTCTAGCACTTTGTGTTTATTGTTCCTTATTCACAGTCTCTTGTGTGCTAACCTGCATTTGGATCCTTGCCATGGCACTGAAATGACCCGTTTTCCTGTCATCTAGTACGTGTTTGAAAATGTGACATTGTGTGCAGCTCGTGTGTGAACATAGGACTTCTAGATTCAGTATCAAGACATCAGAACAAGTTTAGATCACCTGAAGTTCCTTCGTAATGTAAGTGACAGTTTGTTGCCACAAGAAGAACATTTCCAGTTTGAAGAGCGAGTCAGTTTTTTAGAGAAGGTGTAGTGTGACATATTGAGTTGGGAAAATTGATGAGTCAATGTGGAAGCTTGAAACGTGTATTATTACCACATCGGTGGTTTTACAATTTTGTCTGCTGTTCTGCCACAAAGGGTCATCAAAGCCAACGAATTTCAAAGTCAGCATGAAGTGATTTTTGCAAGACTTACTGTGATAATTGATGGTGTTGATGAGCCGGATCCCTACATGTGCGTGGTTGTATGTAACCAAGACGATGTCGAAGAGTTCTTCACTTTGTGGGTACAGCTCTCGCAGACGAGTGTTGACCGCCTCCAAAGCCTGTGAGGATGCACAGACGGTCTGAGACGACGCTCAGTGTATACATCATCAGGAGAAAAGAATGTGCGTTTGCGTCAGCTTGACCTTCACAAAGGGGAAAGCAGGTCCAGGTGCAAAAGGTTCGTTCTCATGCTCTATTTGGTATCTGAGATATTCCTCCACTCCTTTCTGCTCGAACACCTTCTGCTCCCGCTCAGTCCGAAACAAGACCCGAGAGGAAACGGCAACCGTCACGGCATTCTCTGGCTTTGGCTGAAAGAACAAACAGCAGGAGACAGGTAGAGAACAAAGTGACACAAAGAACAGATTGATGGAAGGGTGAGTCCATCACATTGACCCAGGGAAATGATGAAACGGAGAAAAAGAGGTTTGGAGGATCAGGGAAAAGGATGGTCCTACTGTTTTCTGTACTTCAAGGCGTTTCTTAAAACGTTTTCTTAAATAAAACTGAAAGTTGTCCTTCTGTTGGCAAAAAAATAGTACAGAAAATAACAAGACACAAAGTTTTGTTGTATAAAAAAATTTACCAAAACTTGAAAAAAAATAAAGGGCAATACATAACTGAATAACATCTCCCAATGTAAAAACACAAAATGAATAAACCGTTAAACATCCTGCTTCACAGCTAGCTCAGCATCAGCATGTTGTTTATGGGCATCACTTATAAACTACCTTGTGACATGCTGAACAGTGTTTATTAACAGCCAGAGTTAGTAAAGCATGTGAATGACGACCTTTTTGATTTTCCATAGAAAAGATGACTTACGACCTTTCCTGGTTGCCATAGATCCACCCCTCGTTGCTTGTGTTTTCCACTATTGCCAACAAAACCACAAAGATCTTTCACTGTGCAGGCAGCTTTTCATGCTCCTGTCTTCTGAACTGGCTATTCTTGATTTGCTTAGATGCAGATTGCTTTTAATAGTATCTTCTACTTATTTCTGTTGTGACATTCAGACATGTAACATTGAAGTCTCAACAATTGATCCCTCACACACCGACCTCCCACGCTAAAACTTGTAAAGTGCAAGTTTTGATTTGCATCTTACTAAATATTACTATAAAAAACTATAATAACTGAAAACTGTTACTAAAAATGCATGTTTTAAATCTAAATGATGTATACTGAAGTTAATGTAATGGATTTCACTCGTTATTTCAGGTTATACATGGATACCATCAGTTTATATGTCCACATGCATCACCATGACACACGTCGTACAAAACAAAGAGGAACAGCATAAAGTAACTAGTGAGCATCACAAAAATAAGCATTAGCAGCCCTGAATACAAAAGAAAACAGCACTCATATGCCTCGTTAGTCAGGAAAACTGCCGTGAGACAAAGGGACGATGGATGTGCTCAACAATTTTTGGGCATTATAAAAATATAGAGGATGGTGCACAACCCTGATACCCTTTATTACATTAATGTGAATGTGTTCATTGAAACTGAATGAGGTGATCTTACAGTCCAGGTAGTAATAGAAGGTGCTGGCCTTATTTAACCTGCAGGATTTGAGTTTAGACTGGTGTTTGAAGGACAACATTCCTACGAAGGCAGCAGGCATTAGAGCCCACAGTGAGCAGCTGCAGTCACATGACGAACTGGGTGGATATGTTTTACTCTGCTTCAGCTGCAGTCACATGATGAGCGCTGAGTAGAGCTGTCATTTCTTACCCAAGCCCTAAGCCCGGCCCCAACCGACCCGAATTCAGGCCGGGCAATGATAATGTGCTGGATGTGCGGGCTGGGTCGGTGTTGGGCTTTTAATTGGATCAGGATCAGACGCGATCCAATTATATGATAACATGGCCTGCCATACTTTCACCAGCCACATGCAGCCATTTCTACACGAGCTGACCGGCCTTGAAAGAGGTAAAAAGTTCAGTTAAGCTTCAGATGGGACTGTACTGCCAGGAAGTGATCCATCGCCCAAATGGACGTTCATTCAGCCGCTGCACTCAGCGGAAGCGTGCGGCCGATGACCCAAACAGGTGAGATCCCAAAGCAGACGTGTCAGAGCGGGATCCATCTGAATAAACCAGAATGCAGGCAGAAACAGGGTTTAAATGCTCTTTTAAGGTCATGAAAGAACAAACACCACCTCAGCTCCGACCTTCTGCCACTTTTATTCAGCCGCACGTCCCCCACCGTAAATAACTAATTAAAAATGTCAGGCGTTTTTTTTCTGGGTTGAGACCTGTAATACTGTTAATTCGTCAGATCAGGTGGAGTTTGGAAATTATGACTGCGGGCTGGGGCCGGGTCGAATCTGATTTTTTTGGGCTCGAATGCAACTCTAGCGCTGAGTGGACATATTTAACTCAGCTTCAGTAGGTGTGACTGTGTCGTCCATGGTACACATGCACAGCATGAGATATCAACATGTGATGTCTTCTTTTGCTACAGATCACTTCAGCATGTGGAGGTGGATTCGATTAATTCACCTGAACCATAGCCACCTGGTTGTCCAATCCAACTTATTTCTCCTTAGCACTTCTATACTTTAAAACTAGTATAATGCAACAGTCTTTACCAAACAAGTTGTTGACAACAATTTCTATTCCCACAGTGCAAGACAAGAATTACAGTTTTTATAGCCTTGAAATTGCCTGAATATTATTGTCAACATGCATTAAAGTGCCGTTGCAATGAGTCAGGGAAGCTGTGTACTGAGATGTGCACATGCTTGTGTTTTAGTGTACTTGTAAATAAATCACAGAGGGAGCACTGTGCTGCTGCTCCAGTGTTAGGCCACGTTCCATCACAGCATTTCTGCCCGCTAACATACCTGAACACTCACATGACGTTTCACTAAGACTGGATGGAGAATTTGTTATAAGGTAATTCAGTTATTTTTAGATCCTTAGGTCCACTAAGCTTAAGAACATATGTGTATATGTATATATATATAGACAAAA